TTAACAAATCGAACTTAAAAAAAAATTTCATATTTTTTTCCACGGGCAACGCCGGGCCCTTCACATAGTATTTAATATTTATATATACAAGATATAAAAGAACTTGGTTGAAATGAAACTCAGACATCATAATATGAATTTAAAGGGCCATATGATTTGTAATTTCAGGTGACATTTTATTTAAAAGGGGTATGCCCAATGTACAGCGGTAATCTATCTTTAAACATTTGAGCACAAATTATGAACAAATACTTGTATTTCTTTCACAAACTCTGATTTGTAATCTCTGTATTTTTGCAACTCGATATTGTATACTTTAGATATTTCAAACTATGAATTCTGTTAGATCAAATAATCTAAGTTTGAAATATCAAATGTTTATACCATCAAGTCGCAAAGATATAGGGATTAGAAAATTTGAGTTTGTGGCACAGACTCAATTCCATCATAATATTTCTGGCGAATTTTTTTCTAGTAAAAGTGACTAGACGAAGACGTGATTTAAGTCGATTCACTTGAAAATATGTCTACAGTCCACATAAGATGACATATATTTGAATAACTAAGCACAATTTACTTCAGAGTTAGAAAGATCGACATTTCTTCTAATTTAGGAATTAAATGAAAGCGTGTAATAGACTTTTGAGTGCCGATCTAAATTGAAGCATATTTAGATTGAAAGCATTTACAACAGTAACCATTAACTTTCTTAATTTTTTCCCTCAAATCAGCGACCACTTATAAAAAAAAAATTATCAATTATCAATTATCAATTTTCAGATTGAAAAAATAAGAAAACATCAAAAAAATTTTTGAGGAATACTGTTGAAAATCGGACATGCAACTCGTCAAATGAGGGTCACTTGAAATTACGTCGCCAGTAATGACACTCTGTACTATGGAATTAAAGTTTACTTAAATTATAAGGAACAGTCCCTTTAGTAGATAATTTTTAACACTTACTGTCCCGTCTGCCCCTGGTCCAGTTGAAAGTCCTACAACTTCAAGAGCAGCTCCAACCGCTGCTTCAGATTTATCCAAAGCCCCAACAAGACTAAAAAATATTCTGTGAATTAAAAACCGTTGATCGACTTTAAAAATACTTGTTTGACATGGACTTACTAACTAATTTAAGATAATAAGTTGATTTCTGTCATTACTGGTCATTAGTCAAAATTTTCTTCGTTAAACCTCCCCAACCGGACCCCTTATCCACATCAGACAAGACAAGGCCTTAACGATATTTACTGTTATCCTGACTATTCCGATACCCCTTTTTAGAAATTGCTAATGCAATTTTAAAAAAAATACAATTTGACTAACTTCTCTAAAACAACAAGTTCTTGTTTAGCCTCTCCTGGGGTTGGGCACACTGCACATCTATCAACTGCTGCAATACTGTCTCTTTCTGCTCCTCGGCACTTTGCAAAAACTGAAATATTCTTTCTTGCGCTTGATAATTCTGTTTACGATTCTAAAAACTCCATGGTTATGAAACCCCAAAATGACTAGTTATAATATATTTACAAATGTTGTGTTTTGGTAGAATAATTACCAGTTGAATTTCTGCTCTTGTTTTTTAATACTTGATAAATAACTTTTACTTTGTATGAATAATTTTTTATATAAAAAATAATAAAAAGTCTACCTTTATTGCATTTATTTCTCTGCGAAGGTATATTTTGTGCTACGCTTCCACTATTTGTTAAAAATGAACAATTCTTTACTTGTTGCGCCAAGGCAACCAGAGTTTTATCAGCTGTTCCAGAACAAAGCTGTAAAACAATATATTTAAAACAAATGAGGTTTGTGCAGCTTACATGAAAGTCCACAATATAAATTCACTTATCCAAGTTTAGGGGAAAAAATACTAACCCCATTATCTTGAGTTTTTTGTGCACAATTTTTGGGAACATCTATTATGATCTTTAAATATATTAGACAAAATTTAAACATTTTGTTCTATTGAAAACGGCTAATGACAGTTGGTCCTATCAAACACTGAGAAATATATTTTACAATAAAAAATCATACACAAAATGTACTCAACCGTCATTAAATGTTTGCACATATAAAGAAACCGATTATTTTCCCAAACTTTAAAATTCAAATCCTTATAGCAAATCAACCTGATGGTGTACATCTTTGATAATTATACCTTGGCATATTATATATCCAGATTCCATAGTTTAATATATCAAAGGTCTACGAGACGAATACGATATCAGGTGGCAAAAATTACAGTTTGAGGCAAGTGTTTAATCCTTTTAGTACTATTTATCAATAAAAAACCTAAATTAAAAATACTAAAAATAGTGTAGGCCAAGCTATCGAAAAAATACTCTTCCTACTTGTCACTTCAAAGAAAAACGAAGAAATTCTATCCTTGAAAATTACCTCTGTAACAGTCTTTCCGTTTCCGAAAAGGGTCAAGTACATCGTCCTAAATGTTTAAGTTTTACATATTTTTTTTCTTTCATATTTTTAGTTTTCCCAACCTGAATTTATCCGTTGCATTCCTGCACTCGGATATTTGCAGCTCCTCGGCAGTGTTTAAAGAATGGTTGCAGGAGGATTCAATTTCGACTTCACACTCAGAGAGTACAGTGGCTGTCTCTGTAATCAATACAAAGGTCAAAACTTTTGTATTTTAAATCTATTCATAATGCGATAAGTAGGTTACCCTTCTCTGATGGTTTAATTTAGGTCTTTCTTTGAATCATTTCTTAATCATCTCTGAGTGGATTTCCCGTTTGTTCCAGATTTTAAATTAAATCATTCAATTTAAAAGTTTACTCTTTACGTTAAGCCACATCGGCTGACCACTAAACCAAAAGTTTAAGTCTCAGAATATTTTCTATTTCGTAATTGTTAACGTTATTATCTTCTCCTCATACCCACTGTAGAATCATTTCTGACAGATTTCCCCGAGCATGTAAGATTAGTAAAGTCCCCTCCCAATGTGTTGACAAGAATAATGAATGGTTCCTTGAAGCTGGTTTTCTTATTATTTTTACTGCCTATTGAAAGGCTGGCGGCTAGAGCTCTAGACGAAATCTGGAAAAAGTTTCTTGCTTGATTCCCAAATAACACACCCAACTCAGCCAAATCCTGACAGAAGTAGAAAGGATTTAAAATGTATTGAAGATGTGTTTGACATTTTTTGATATTATTCAAATCTTACCTTGATGCAGCTATCCGAAATTGCTTGTCTAGTGCTGAATGATTTTTGTATTTTTTTTTTCTTAATTTTTTCAGTGTCACCACCAGGGCTCTTTTTTTGGTTTTTCTCTCTTTCTTGATTTTTCTCAAATTTGATAATTTTAGTTTTCTTCTGGGATTTCTTTTTCTTCAAATTAAGTTTATTCCTTTTTTGTCTTATTTTTTGCTTTTTATTACTAGACCCACTTTTTGTCTCAACATTATTTTTTTTTTTATGTTTTTCCACATTCTCAGAATTTGTATCATTTTGTTCTACTTTCTTAATACCTCTTGCTGTTCTTTCTAATGTTGGATTAGCATTAAAATCCACAGCTACATTATTGCCATCTATGAAGCAAGGATTTGTATAATATTTTAATTATTTTTAATTTTTATTTATATTAACTTATAAGAGGTAAATGTATGCCTACCTATCATGGCACTTGTAGAAAAAGTACCTAAAGTAAAAAAGTATGAAATATTATTAATCTTTAGAAAATTTATCTAAAAAGTATTTTTACACAAAATAAAATGTGCTGCCTACCGCTCACAAATGAAGCATGAATGCTAAGGAAAACGCCAACTAAGGCTATGTTTAAAACTCTCATTTTATCTTTTTAATAAAAATATTTTATTTTGGTTATATTTTAGTACATTTTATTAAATTATTGATTCATTATTTTAAAAAATTTAAATAGCATAAAATTTTAGTTTTTTTAAAAGTTTACTTCAGTTTTGTTATTTTTTTCAAAGTTTACTAACTGAAGTTTCAATGGTATTCAAAAGTTTGATAACTAGATTATATTTTTCATTTTTAGTTTAACTTAAAGGGAGTATTCGCGGAAAATTAAAGAGGGTAGGCTTATTGCGAAAAATAACCGCTTTTGATCGCTACTAATTTCACATCTATCTCTCGCGTATATCAGGAGAAAATTGTTAAAAACGACTCACACCGAAGAACGTAGCGTCCATACAAATTCAGAAACCTGCAACATTCAACTCGGATCGTAAAAATATCAATTTGATTCAAAACAAATCATCCAGATATTACAACCAATAATTATCGATAATTTTTCGACGCATTCGTGTATAGTTGATATTTCATAATATTTTTTATTTTTTATGATCTGATTTTTTGAAAACATTTATTCCGTTTCGAGGCTTTTTGATAATGAAGGCGATATTTTCATATCTCATGTATTTTTTCATGTTTGAAGCTTAAATTTTTACAATCAAGTTTAAGTTTAATATGTAAAAGTTTTATATTTTATTTAAAATTTATAAAATCAAAGTTTCAATTATTTGTTTAAGTTCAATTGATCAAATTTGAATCAGAAAGTTGAAGGTCACATTGGTTTGTTTAAGTTTAATAGAAAAAAATCTTTATGTTTTGTTTAAGGTAAGGTTTTAATACTTTGTTAATAGATTATAGTTTCAGTGGAATAAATTAAAGATTTATTATTTGACTGGATGATGTTTAAGTATGTTTGCATGGTCGACTATGAGAAGAATCTGACACTGAACACAAATTACAAATCTCATAACTTGAATCAATTCATGAAACACTTGAAGTTTTCAAACATTTTACAAATAATTATATAATATTTTAGAATTTTCGTATAATTATCTGAAAATAATGATATATTAGATACATTCGTTTTTCAATGAAATCACAGCTTTAAAATAGGTAAAATAAAAGATAAAATTATTTTGTGTGACCTTTTAAACAAAAATGCACATTTTTAAAGTTTAAAGGTTAATATCGAATCGAATTCAATATCAGTCTATAACCCCCTTACATTTTTCGAGAACACTCCCTTTAAAGAGACTTTAAGTGTAGTTTCAAGTGACCCTGGAAGGAAGAAAATGTCCTATTTATATAGGGTTAAAGGGTGGTGTTGTGAATCGGATAAACCTCCAAACCAAAGTATTGTTCACCTATTTAAAACAATACAATTAACCAGTTAAATTCCAAGCTCCATAATCAAATATTAAGACAAATCGGGGTTTCTAGATCAACCAGACAAACAGAGATTACAACAATTTACAATATTACAACAATATCTAAAATTTTACTTATTATTTGCCTATGCTTTTCCCAAAAAATACTAATATCTTTTTAACCTGGGTATGTAATAATTATAATATATAAAGTTCTAATCTCTGTTTGTCTTTCTGTTTCTTTGTTTGTCCGATCATAGCTCAGGAACCCCTGGACCGATTTGCCTCAAATTTTGATTCGGGAAATCCATGGAATGTGCAAGGAATGTGTACGGGAGTAACTTTCAATAACCTTGGTATAGCTGGGTTCCCAAGCTAGTGTGTGTCGTGTGATATAGAGTAAAAAATCTAGAGAACGAAAAGTTACATTACAATAAATTTTTTTGTTTAACTTTAGTAATTTTTATTAGCTTTACTATAGACTGGTAGGCCTTCCAGTTTCTCCCATTGTTGTCAAAACTGCATAGTATCTTATTTGTTTCTATAATTTTTCGTTGTTAAGGAATTCAGAATTTGCCACAAACTCAAATTTTCTAATTCCCATATCTTAGCAACCTGACGGTGTGAACCTTTGATATTTTAAACTTCGATTATTTGATCCAACAGAATTCATAGTTTGAACATATCTAAGGACTACGACACTGGGCTGTAGAGATATAAGGATTATAAATGCAAAGTTTGTGGCAAAGACTCAACTCCTTTCTGGCTTTTTTTTTGCAGACAATCTTAGTTTAACATGTATCCTGTCAATTACACCCTCGCAAAATTTCCATCACTTCTACTTTTTATTAATATCTGTTTTCATGTTCCCCACCCCCCTCCATCTTCATATTCTTCATATTCTACGCGCAGGCGCAGATTTATATCACAATGCCCAGCTATTTTTACAACTTCCTATCATTACCTCATCTTATCCATTTAACCGGTTTCACCGTTCTTCTTGTGATAGTACGTTACTGAGAAACTAAATTCTAAAGACCAACAGAGGTTTTTTAAATTCTTCTCTTTTTATTTTTTTGTTCTCTTTTTGTGAAACTAAGTTTTTTTTTGTTTAATTTTTTTTATTTTTTTTTATGATCTTTTGTTTTCTCTTTATTATTGTTTTTTTTTATAAAAAGAAATCCGATATAGACACTCAAGCACACAACACAAGGAGTTGAGTAAACCATTCCTTTATGATCCTTAAAAGGGAGTGTCCGCTAGGTGTCTCTGCCACGTGGAATCATGCAAAAAAAACGAAAGCTGAGACATCTGGCGGCCAGCAAATCGTCGTTTAGATTGCACCATATATGAAACAAATAAAATTTTATGAATTATTAACTATATACGAATGCGTCGAAAAATAATCTATGATTATAGGTTGTAATATCTGAATGATTTGTTTGGAATTAATTTGATTTGTTTACAATCCTAGTTGAATGAAGCAACTTTCTGAATTTGTATGGACGCTACGTTCTTCAGTATGAGTCGTTTATGACAATTTTCTCCCCCTAGACGCAACAGATAGAAGTAAGATTATTAGCAATCACCATCGAATATTTTTTAACCTAAACATATACCCCCTTTCATTTTTCGCGAACAATCCCTTTGAACACAAATTTTTTCAGTTTCAATTTGAAAGGCTTTTAATCTTCCTTTCTCCTTTTCTTTTTCCTTTCTTATTTTAACCTGTGCTTGTCTTTACCTACTACTTCACTAATTTCTTTCCTTCATTCGTAACTCTCTTTAATCTATTTACTTCCAATTAATCTATTCTTACTTCCTATTTTTATTATTACTGGTAAGCAATAAACAAAGCCTGATTTAATATCCAATTTAATCCCAATCGCCCGTATAGAAAAACTACTTTATTTCTCGATATGATCTCCCTTTCTAGTTGGTGTGATCGCTTCTCTGTTCAGGAATCTGATCTTTAAACTTTTTAATCAATAGGGAATTTGATCTAAGAGTAATCTGATCTAATGAAAATTGAATCTAAAAAACGTGGAAATTGACCTAAAATTTTTATCCTGGAGAATAATCTCCCTGTGTCAGGGTAGGGGCTTTCCAGAGAAAAGAGAGTCACAGAGATCGATTATCAGCTAAAATATGCGATATTTTCCACAGCATGTTCTATTATGTACAAGTAAACACGACTAATCAGCAAACATCTGTTTTCAGGGATATTTAAGGATCCTTTGGATACGAAACACAAAAAAAGACTGAATTCATAAATGTTATGTTTCATGTTTAAGATTGGAGTGTTTCTTTAAAAGTTGTAAAACTTAACCCGTGAATGGATATTATGTTCAACAAGGGGCCGTGAGATGGCACTCTAAAACCCTATCGTAAAAACATAGTCAACTTATAGGTCTCGTAGCCCACCCTGTGAAAGGAGATAAGCAGTCAGTGTAGTCTGTGGGGCTTTCAAACCGACAGATCACACTTGCCTCATTTTCCATTTGTGAGATTCCTGCGAGAACAGATCTTGTGTTAAATTATTTTATGTATTTGCACACCACTTCATTTCTAGCTCGTTTTCCTCCCAAAATGTGATTTTCTGGTTCGTCGTTCATAACGGTTAATCGTAACAAAATTCAGACTTATGTCTGTGATTGAATAAAAATTGTGGTAGTAGTAGCACGCACATGATCATAATAAACGCCACTAGATCCTACAATCGATATTCAAGAAAGAAGTTAAAAATTTAACCAATCAACATGTCATGTTAAGATGTACTCTTTAACTTTAAAAAAAACCGGTTTGGATTTCTGGTGTTGATGGTGTCATACCGATTGAACTAAACATCGCTTGAAGTTTTGGATTAATGTTTATTAAGACTAACGTTCAAAATGACAATAGTCCTTCAATATGTTTTTTAATAATTTCATACTAACACGATTAAACTTATATTTGTTTAAGTACTCTAAAAGCTGGTGTTACGCGAGCCACGCTGCGTGTATAAAGTCTGCTTGTCACCCCTGTGTATTTCTGAGTTCTCCCTGAAGTTCTGTACGGAATGTATTGTGAAAGAACTAGTTTAGGAACTGTTTACAGACCGACTACGCAGGCGCAAGATTTCTCGCGGAGTAGTGAATTATTTATATCAGTATATGTTTATTCGTCTTACAAGTTTTAGCCGTGTCCAGAATTCTGGGATCACTGTGGTAACTAATTTTATATATATTTATGCTTATCGTTTTGATTATAGTATGATTGATATTTATATATGTGTTGTTGGTTCCTAGCCACAGTTTTTTAATGCCTGAGTGAATTATTTGTTGTATTTGTATGATTTATCACTCAAAGCTTTTTCTGTGGGTTTATTAAACTTCTTTAGATTGAAGGCTCAGAGAAATAAACGTTCAGAACCTTACTATCATCCTTTTATTATGAAGAGCGTTGAGAGAAGGGAGTCTTACGATCCGGTCCTGAGAAATACCACACGGTATATATATTAGGTCTTTAGGGAAATCACTAAGTAGCGAAACATTCAATCACAACCTTGTAGGATACTGGTTAACTAATTGAGATTGCAAATATATTTCTTGTCACCGCGATATTGCCTGAATTGGAAAATATACGGACTGACGTAGGAATAAGATTACAAGGAAGCTGAGATTTTTATTTTACTAGATCTATTTTTTGTAAATTGAGACGGAACCTTTTAATTCAATTTTAAACTGGATTTGTTTCTTGTTGTCAGTATATTGGCCAAATTGGAAAATATGGTGACGAATCGAGTGAACAAATTCTAAATAATGAAAGTGAATGTTAATGGAATGTTCCTGAGTGGATGATTGGATGAAGTTTACCTGAGATTTATGATCCATCGACTGTACCTTCTTGATCAATATCTTGAAGTGACAATCACTGGACGATACCAAAAAAGTTTTCTTTAATTTATTGAGCTATTTCCTCACTGTTAGTGTATTTGCCAGATTGGAAAGATACATTGAGTGAGTGAGGAGAATAACTCTACTTGAGATCAATTAATAAATCCTGAATGTTATTGATCATGGATGACAATTGATTGAGTCTAATTTATTGAGCTATCGCTCATCCTTGATATATTTAAGATATTGCAACAAACTGACTGAAATAGGATTAAAGGATCTGAGGATCTGAGGATCTGAGCAAAGATGAAAAACTGAACGCACAGCAAGCCAAAGGTTGCAAGCTCTAACGTAAAATATATGAGAATTTTTCCGATTAAAACTTTAAAAGTATACCAAAAAACAAGTGTTTTGAATTTCCCAAAAAGGCTACAAAAAAGTATAAGTAGGTGAGGGAGATAAAATCAAAGACATCGGTGTTGCGACACTTCTAAGTTGATCCAGTCTGAAAGTTGATGCAACTTTTCATAGCAATCTAGATCTAGGTTAACAAATACAAAGGCGAAGACTAAACGAGCAAAAAACTAACAAAGCAATAATAAAAAAATTTGAGTCAAAAAGTTCAAATAGAGAAGAGATAATTACTGAAACTAAGAAAATAGATGGGCCGGCAGAAAAGCTGATATTTTCGTAAAACTATAGATACTTTAAATTTGTAACGGTGATATTACTAATTCCAATGTCTATTCCTTTATACGGATGAGGCAGCAAGGGTATTCCTTGTTTGTGTATTTCTTAAAATTATCTACTCCTGCAACGGGTGCGGGGTGAGGTAGCAAGGGTACTCCTAGTGTATATGTTTCTTGAATATATCTATGCCTGTATACGGATGAGGTAGGAAGGGTATTCCCTCCATAAAATCAGATAAAAGAAGGATTAACTCCTACCCTGATAAACCTGATAAACTCCAGAACTAGGAAATTCAAATAAAAAATGTAAAAATTAGCGTTGAGGTATTTTGCTAGAATTTTTATTGCTATCCTTACAGAGAGATTAAGTGGGTGATTGAGATAGGAGATATTTATGGGTAAGAACAGGTACAGGTACAGGTACAGGTACAGGTACAGGTACAGGTACAGGTAATTATTTAGAATCGATTACCTTCATTAAATCTTAAACATTTTTGGGGAGGCTTTATGATTTTAATTCTTTTCCAGAAGAAATACTTTTAATTGTTTTAAACCTCAAATTTTTTCGTCGTCTTTAATATTTGATTTTGAAAAAATTAAAGATACTCCAAGCTAATCGATCGGCAAGCTTAATTTTTTCATTTCCTTATCTTTGTATCCTAATATTGTAAAACGTTGATATTTCAAAATTTTAATATTATTAATCAGAATTCAAATGTTTGGAATATCAAAGGTCTACGGCGACAGGTTGCAAAGATATATGAATTACAAAGTTAGATCATGAGAAGAGTAATCTGTTCTTATACAGATTTACTAATGTTGGATTGTCAAAAGATACTTTTTATGAATTTTTGTTATATGCATTTACTTTATGGCTCTACTCTGGAAGAAAATAAATGGCCTTTCAATCGAATGCAACAAATGTATTTAATAGAACATTACTTTTCAAATTTATATTCATTTGCTCTTTTAGTTTAATTTGTCTGAGGACAATTAAATACACATCATAGATAAATTAGATTAATTTAACCATGGTCAGTCAAAGTCGAAAAATTCTGCTTTTCCAAAGAAAAATGTTCATTAAATTAAAACGTTTCGGATTTATTTGCTATTGCTTTTTGTATTTTAATTTTGAATAAATTCTACAGTTATAACCAGGAAGACCCGAGATTAATAGACAGGGCCTACAGGCTATGTTAGGTAGTTAAACTGAGTATGCAGTGTTGTGGACAAATTCTTTTGGATTCATTCAAGACATATAATGTGAATATTTGTAAAATTATATTGAGAAATGAATGCCGCAAACTATTTCATAGTTCAAAGACGATTGTAAAAGTCGTCTGATTAATTATCAATTAATTTCGGGTCTGTCTGGTCGTGACTGTGTGTGTGCGTGTAGGAAAAATTCTGAGCACACCCTAATTAAGTATTGAGTAGAAAAGGACGATATTTCTATAGACTGCAAAGTCTAATCCTAGAATGCAATTAGTGTGTAGTTAGTGTCAATGAATTAAATTCAGTTTAAAAACCTGAAATTATTCTTTAGAAAGATCGTAAATATTTAGGAATCAATCCGACTAATTCTAGGGTCACCAAAACAATTAGCATTTTTATCTTGTAATTATACATTTTCTTTCGCCCCGCATTTTCAGCTTCCCCTGCCTTCCCTTCCCCTTCTTTCCATCCTGTCCCTATCTTCCACTCCCTTCCTATTCCTTCCCTTCCCCTCCCTTCCTATTCCTTCCCTTCCCCCTATTTAAATATTCTTGAATTAAATATATATTTGTAAGATTGACAAATTGTAGAATTCTTGTGGATTTGTTTGCGGGATATCCTCAACTATTCTGGGATATCCTTCTCATTAGTCAATCAAAGCTTTAGTAAAACGTTTATATTGGGAACTTTATAATATACAATATATTTTACATATATTTGAATTTTCTGACAGTTTTCTGCTTTGTATCCAATGTACGCTGAAACGACTTAATGACGACCTGTGAAACTCTCTAAATCTGATAACCTGAAGGCTAAATTTAATCTTCTTCCTTAAACAAAATGGCTTTCAAGAGTAAAATAAATTATTTGGTAACAAAAATCTTATTTTTAGTTGCGCGAATTATAAATTTAAAATGATGACTTTAAACTTTCCGTTCTGTTAACTCTAAATTCTCATTTAATTGGGAATTTTGAGAAAACATAAAATCATATTTCTGGTCCTACATTGGTCTTAATTTGAAGTTGATTGTATTCATTTACAATTTACATTATGATGATATTTTAAAGCATTTCCTGTCGAATCCTCTTTGAATTCAAGATTATAATCTTTAGCATTTAGAAAACTGGAACATTTCACTTCAAAGGTATGCGCCCTCCTACATCCTCCCTAATACTAGCCGATACTAGCCGATACTAGCCGATACTAGCCGATACTAGCAATACTAGCCGCTCAATCTCCAATTTTTAACCCGATGTCTTAAATCTTTACTTTAAAAGGTCGCAAAGATGTAGGGATTAGAAAATTAAAGTTTGTTGCTAGAAATTATTTCCTTGGAGTTTTAATTCTAATTAAATCATTTAATTTTAAATCCCAAAGTCTTTGCAACCTGAGGTTATCTTTGATATTTCAAACTTGGACTTTTTGGTCAAGCATCTCTCATTCTTAAAAATTTTAAAATTTTGCAACATCAGGATACAAAGATATAAGTATCTGAAAATTAGTTTCTTAGCAGATTTAAAGAAATCAGGGTAGGCTAGCTATGTGTCTTCTCAAATCCAAAAACATATATTGCAATGT